GCACAGCAAGGAGGCAGTGCTGAATAGCTAGGGCCTGTGGTTCGGAAGGTGGCTAAGGCCAGTGAGGGCTGAATGTCGGCTACAAGGAGTTCAGAATGGCAGTCGTGGGGGTCAGCATAAAATCCAGAATTACTTCCAGACCTTCTTTGCCTTGTGAGCCTGGCTTCTGCTGGGAACTGAAGTAGATAGAGCTGGCTTGAAGCCCCTCCCCTCCCTGTTGCTTCAAGAAGAGAGGCCGAAGCAAGGAGAGTCCCCACCCAGGCAATGGTGGGGAGCACAACCAGGAGACCCCAAAGCCTGCATTCTGACAGGTGACTCTTCACCTATGGGAGCCGCAGGATGGGTGTTCGAGGGCAGGCGCCACTGCAGCTTCGGGAGCCTGTTTTCTGTAGTTTACAGCTAGAGCTCTATTTTGTTATGGTTTTTTAAACGTTTCAGTCCTGCTCTATTTTCTTGGGCAGTTTTTATGTTGATGTTTACTCAGTACAATTTTTTAAAAACGGAAGCTCACACATCTTCTTCTGGGAACCCCCAGGCCAGCCTTACCTCCAGCGAGAGTGTGTGCTCACAGCCATCGTGTGCCAGGGGACCAGGGGCTCAGCTATACAGTCGTCCTCCCTCACAGACCCTGGTCTTGCTGGCTGTGATTTGACCTGAGCCTGGCTCTCCATCAGACCAGTGACCCTGAACTAAGGAATCCTTCCAACGTCTGACTCCTTGCTTTCTCCCTTGCTGCTAGGGCAGGAGAGTTCAGGGACACGGGGCCTGGCAGGCAGATGAGCTGGATTGGCACCGAATCTCACCAGGAACGTGGAGGCTGCGGTGCCCATGCTGGCTTGAAGAATTACATAGACTTACACTTACCTTGCTTCTAATGAGGCCTGTGAGAAAGGGAGGAGGGCAGCCTGCTGGGAGGCCCAGAGGGAGGAAACTCTAGCCTCCTGCAGCCAGAGGTTTGGGGGTAGAGCACCCATGAGGGTTTAGTAAGACAGTAGGTGAATGGAGGATGTGCAAGGTTGGGAGAGGGAATGGCTTCCTGTGGAGATGTATGGACTGCTTCGAGAAGCAGGCTAGGCTAGATAGATGGCTTCTCAGAATGTGGTCCTGCTGGAAGAGCGCCGTGGAACAATGTCTTGCGGACTCAGACAGAGACAGCCTGTAGGCCGCTCTTCGGGGCTCTCCTTCAGCACACAGGGGCTCAGGCTCCAGTGCTGGGCTGCTGGGTCTGTTGCCATGGCAATACAGATGTGTACCAGGCAAAGGGCAGCTCTCTCCACGGCACTCGGGCAGTGCCCCGGGAATCTCAGTTCTGCTTCCATTCCCGGCAGCCAAGGATACGCAAGGGGCCAGGGAGTAACAAAGCCAGGGTATGAAAGTGGGGGTTCTTTTTCTTTGGATAGTCACACTGAGAAGAAAGGCTGAAGTTAGACATCAGCAAGGCTTAGGGAGTGAGCAGCTTCTTTCCAGGCATGGTGGCAGTGGGCGTGGTGACGTCATCGATGGAGGGGGGTGGGGTACGCTGACCGTCCTTCCAGAGGTGAGATTCTTAGAATCCAAGTGTCTGGCACAGGAAGAGTCTTAGAGACACCACCTGTGTGGTCCCTGCCTCGTGAAGGAGACCAGGAGGGCAGACCCTCGCCCCAGCAACTTGCTCATAACCCAGTGCCTTCCCCAGCAGGCACTGCCCCTAGGCAGTCCCATCAGCCAACCAGCCTGCGTGCTGTCAGGAAGTTCCATGGCTGATGACAGCCTACTGCCCTCGTCCCTTCCCCACCAACACAGGAACTTTTTCTCTTCCTTGTCAACCTGAGTCTGACAGACGGCATCTGCGCGCAGTCAGAGGGACAGCAGTGGCCTCACAGCTGTCCCCGGCACAGCTGTGGTGCTGTCTCCTAGCTCACTTGAACCTGGGCCTTACCTGGAGGAGTGTTAAGAGAGATCAGATAGGCACTTTTCTAAGGGACTTGAAAGAGCTCCATGGAAACAGGTGCCAGTGGCCGGGCATGGGGGTGGGGGTGACTGGGAACTTGTATATATGGTTTTGGCTTTGGGGAGTCACAGCAACAGGAGAAAACTGGAGAGGAAGCAAGCAGGTCAGATAGCTTTGCCTGAAGGTGCCCTTGGGATCCATTCTGCCTCGATCCCAGAGACCTCCAACATAGCACCCACAGCTCAGAGACCCTCAGGGCTGGGCAAATGCTAGCGTGTTGTCAGACTGCTGACTCAACAGACAGTTCCTGTTCAAATGGAGCCCCACCCCCATCAGCCCACTGCTCCACTCTTGTATGTGTAACGGTAGTTATTTATTGACTCTGGTAGCAGACAGTTCTTAAATAAAGTTGGTTTCTCAACCTGCTCAGACAGCTGGCAGCAGCTGTGGGTATTTTGATCACCTGGCTCGAGCATATCTCCTTGTCTGTTCTATGACGCCAGGGGCCAGCCAGCTCCGAAGTGGAAAACCCTGAAGAAGGTTCCAACATTTAGTCCACACTGCTCCATTCTGACCTAGGAGGGGAAGAGCAGGCATCTTGCCAGCCGGGACCAGTGTGGCCTAACACAAAGTAGGGTGATGGATTCAATGATCCCGGAGAGATTAATACCCTGCAACTGGTACAGACATGGCTGCTGCCGCCATTCTCCACTCAGGACACTAGTTTCCAGCCAACTCTCTCACTTATGTTCCACACATGTGATCAGACTTCTACTACAGATAACACATGCACAGGGAAGGTGGGTAGAGGCCCCTCTACTCAGTGCTTAGCTCTCTGCCCAAGGCCTATTCAGCCTAGGAAGGGGTCTACACAGACTCCAGTATAGCACTGCAACTGACTAGGGAAAATTTTTATTTGACACCCAAAGGGGATGTTGGGAGCTATGAAAGAACTCAACTTGGGTCCGGTAGCCCTGCTGGGGCACATTACATGCACAGAACTCAATGCACTGGACTGGGTTATCTTCACTAGTTGACCAGCAGCAGAATGCTGGACAAGATTTTCAGCTCTTTTCTGGGTCTCAGTCTCTTCATCTGGATAATAGGAAGCAGTGCCCCTCCATAATGATATTGAGTTTGTGACATACAAAGGAATATACTGCTTCACTGTCCTCTTTCAAGTACAAAAGTCCTGGATGCTTTAACAACCTATTCAGTACTGAACAAAAGCATCATGAATCACACACTCCAGTTTCCAAAGCAGTTTACAAACCTGACTGGATTGTCTCACAAACACATTTCAAAGATGAGGCCTATGAGCATCAGTCTGCTTGTTCAATTACAGTTGATAGCAGAGGCAGGACCAGGACCAGGTCTTCTGAAATCATCTCTGCAGCAGACAGATGAGGGGAAGAGCTGTGTAAAATCTTAAGATCTTTTCACTGGGGCTGGGAACGTGGCTCAGTGGTAGAGTGCTTGTCTAGCATGCACAAAGCCCAGGGTTCAATTCTTCAGTACCGCATAAACAGAAAAGGCCAGAAGTGGCACTGTGGCTCAATTGGTAGAATGCTAGCCTTGAGCAAAAGCAGCTCAGGGACAGTGTTCATGCCCTGAGTTTAAGCCCCAGGATTGGCAAAAAAGTTCATACACAGTACATGAACCTTTATATCTGATTTGGATCAAAAATCAAAAAGCCTTGATTCTGTAAACTAAGAAAACTAAATCTAGACTACATGTAAAGTTGTGACAAAGGCCCTGTTCTCCTGGTTAAGCAGACGTGCACCTGGTTAAGATTTCAGTGTCACAACAAAATGGTTCAGCAAAAATGAATACATATTTAGAAAGATGTTGATGGATCTCAGCAATGGGAGGCAGACTGTGGGTGGGCACTGAAGCTTTCAACTTTTATCTGGATTTGAAATAGTTTTAATCTACAAGGAAGTGTGTATGTGGTGTGTGTATGCATGCGTGCCAGCACTAGAGCTTCAACTCGGGGCCTGGGTATTGTCCCTTCACTTTTTCACCCAAGGCTGATTATCTACACACGAGCCACAGCTCTGCTTCTGGCTTTTTTGGTAGTTAAATGGAGGTAAGAGTTTCACAGACTTCCCTACTTGGGCTGGCTTTGTATCACAATCCTCAAATCACAGCTTCCTGAGTAGCAAGATTATAGGTATAAGCCATCAGTGCCTGGCAGAAAAAAAAAATTAATCATGAATTCTTAGCCATAACTGAAACTGACTAGCATCTTTGGGCTGGAGCTCAGGCATATTTTTTAGTCATTCAGGTGATCCTGTCACTGTGATTCTTACTCCTGTAGCTAGAAAAGATGAGGGAAGCTGAGCTCTATCAGTTCACATGTGGCCAAGAGCCTTTTCTTTGATGGTACCATAATCCAGCTAGCTCAGACCCAAACTGAGTGGTTCCTGAGGCTCTTAGATTGGCCTTTCCATGAAGGACTGAAAGTCCTAGTTCTCTTCTGGGAGTCTGGGCTACTCCAAGAAACCAATACAGGCATGGAAAGTGGAAGAAGCAGGGATCAAGGCCAGGGACTGTCTCCATGATCAGGTGAAGGATCTCATGTTTTTCCAGGAAATTCAACTTAACACTCAATACAGAGGGCTCACCTAGGAGGACAAAGAGGGCAGATCATTTATTTACACTTACTGATTGTCTATTACATATCCGGGTCAGGTGTTGCTACATTCCCCATACAAAGCCATTTGTCCAAGAAACCCAAGGAAAATGAAAGTCAGGCTATGGGACAATCAAGACAAATACAAGGAATTTTAAAGAACATGAAAGCAACAAGTGAGGGCTCCATATAGCTACTGTGAATTATTCTTTATTGAAGAAGGAAAAAATGTTTTTACTGTAACAGCTGCTACAACATTCTTTGCCATGATAACCGGCTCTTGATGGGGAGCATACAAGCTATGCTAGAGAGCAAGGGAATGCAGGCTTGCAGATACAACTCTTTTCAGGAGAGGAGCGGTGTCTGCAGTCAGGATCCTGAGCCCTAGTGGCTGGGAGCTAAGAAAGTAATCCATCTGGGACACTAAGCTGGACGTCACCACCCAGAGCCACCACGGAGCTGCACATTGTGCTCTTCTTCCCCTGCCATTTGGCCGGGGCGTGGAAAGGCCTGTAGCTTCCCCAGGCTCTCTGTGCTATACGTCCCACTCAGCACTCTGCAGAGAACGATGCTCACCAGTACCCCAACAACCACTCCAATGGCAACACCTATGGCCAAGGCTGATGCCACCTTCTTTTGCCACTTGGGTTGAGAAGGCGTGGTATAGTTGTCTAGATTAACTTCCAAGCCCTCATCTACCAACCTCTGATTCTCAGTAAGGGACTGATTGAAATTCAGACTCACTAGTTTGGGTGGAAGGACCCTCAGCCCAAAATAGAGCCTCTTGACAAGCCTCAAGTTTTTCAGCTGATGCACATCACAGCGGTACGTGCCCGAGTGAGACTCCAGAGCAGGCTTGAACAGGAGGAAGTGCAAGGTGGATCGGTAGGGTTTGAAGATCACATCGTTAATTGAGATAATACCCCGAGCGACTTTCCAGGTGAAGCGGAATGATTCCTTCCCGTCCTCTAGGATATCTGCACTGAGACAGCTGAGCTCAAAGTCATTCCCCGCGAGCACGGTGAAATGGAGCATCCCGCAGCTCCAGCTGGTCAGACACTCCAAGCGCTGAGACTTGCACTTCCTCCTCACCCCGTCAGGGCCCACCTCGCAGACAGTCTCCTCCTTATAGCCAAGGCCACATGTGACAGAACAAGTTGTGGCATTGACAAGGACTTCCCCCACAGCTTCTTGTAGCGGCTTAGGGATATCCATTGTTTCCGGTGAGGTCACCACCGCAGGGTAGGTGGCCAACACCAGGATCCCAAGGATGGAACAAGTGGCCTTCATGTCTTGGTAGATATCACTCAGCCAAGCACTCCATGTATTCCAGATGAACCCTTTGGCTAACTAAATTCCTTCCATATGGCTATCCTTTCAAGTCAAGATAGGAGCATGCATCATCAACGCAATACAACCAAGTACATAAAAGTCCAGACTTACTCACAGGTTAAGGCTGTAAGGCAAAAAAAAAAAAAAAAAAAAGTCACGATGTTATGATTTACTGTCTATGCTTGTTAATGAGCACTGTACCAGTGTGTGTGTGTGTGTGTGCGCGCGCGTGTGCATGCATGCGCATGCATGTGCACCAGTACTGGAGCTTGAAGTCAGAGACTTGAGCTCTTGATTTTTGCTCCAAGATGGTACTCTACCACTGAGTCACACCCCGACATCCTCTCAAAGAATTTACATCCACCTCTTAAGAGGACCAAGATGAAGACTTCATAAATTGGAGTGAATTTTCTCATTACCCTAAGTGCATGGTGCAGTCCCTCCATTTCTCACCATGGGGCAAATATTAAAGGTTTCCAAATCCCCAGCTAAAGCTAATCAAGTTAAGAAATTTTTACTAAAGTCTAAGAGAAAAAAGATGCATTTGAATTAAGTTCAGTATCTTGAATTCTTTACTATGAATTTGCCTAAACCTTCTAGAAAAAGGATGATGAACGTTGGACCGGGAGGCAAGTGACTTACCCTTCCTGAATTTCTAATTCTATGTCCTCTTTAGTAAACGTAGACTTCCCTACTTCAGGAAAGGCACCTTGAATGCCAAAATACAGTTCTCTCAGAACACTTTGTAAAGACTGCTCAGGTAAGGGATTGCAAAAATAAAAAATCAGGAAGACAAGGAGCGAGACAGTCTCAGCTTCATTCCACACACACAACACTACTCTCCTCTCCCAAGGAGACCCAGGGCATGGAAGGTGCTACCCAGCTCTCTGCCTGTGCCCACAGAATGGAGCTCATCCATTGCTTAGGTTAGCAAAGTTGCTATGAAACAGCTATGATGTCAAAGATGGGCTCTCAGCCACATACAATAGTAAGTAAACATTCAGATTAGGGCTTTGTTAAAATCAGACTAACAGACTTTTTGAAACATCTAGGTATTCAATGGATTTTAAAGCTATTTGATCTGGGGCAAAGCCTAGTGAAGAGGATTTTAACTGTATTTGGACTAGGAAATATCTACGGAAGGCTGGAATCTCTGGGCATGTGTTTTTGTCTCTTCCAGAATGCCCCCCCCCCCCACTTCTAGATCTCTGGGCATGTGTCTTTGTCACTTCTAGAATTCCTACTTCTAGCTCTGTCCTGTCCAGAGATCCAACCTCAATCCAGATAACTTCTGTTACATAAAAGCCAAGTGGGTGAGCTCTGGCAGTGATGTTTAGAAACAAACATGTACACCTTTTATTTAATAAACATTCAATTTTATTTACAAAGCATTAAAGCTTAGCAAGAAATACCCAAGGCTAAGTCTCATCTTGTACAAAACTACAGAACATTTTAAAAAGCAAAAACAGTGGGTGGAGGAAAGATGACAAGAGGGAAAAGAGAATATACATTTATACAAATCAAGAAATTCAAACAAGTGAGGAGAGCTGAGAGGAGCAGGAAGGAAAAAAGAAAGAAAAGAAAAAGAAAAAAACTTCTAAAATCCTAAGTCATTATTAGGAGTTGCTGCTAAAGGCAATGCGGATGGAGGCTTGAGGCCATCCTCAGGAGTCAGCTGGGGAGCTGACAGACAACGTAGTGCGTGCACAGAGGAGGCCCATGCACGGAGAAGACCGAGTTGCTTCACACATGGATAGAAGGCAGAACCCTCTGTATCATCGTTTGCACACTACTGCAGTGTGCAGCCCAGAGAACTGGGGCAGACAGATGTCTGCAAGGCAAAAACAGGTCCTGTGTGCCACCTCCCTCTCTCAACCATTGTCCAACTCACATAAATTCACAAAAATGAGCACTTGGGGAAGGGGCAGGGGCAACTAACAATAGACATTTTGCAACTGACTTGGGCAGAGCTCTCTCTCCTACTTCTGGGGGAAAAAATCTTTTTTAAAAATTTAAAAAATATCTATCTGTTGCTCTAAAAGATGGGCTGGGAGAAAGAAGCTCTCACTGGTGTGCCCTTTGATTTCTACCCTGTAATTTGAAAGGTGATCAATGTGTCTGGCTGCTAAAGGAGCATCCACCAACTGACAGATTTCACAATTAGTGTAGTATTCAAACTCCCCTTTGAAAATATGATCCAGGGTAAGCAAGCACTTCTGGTCAGCTTAAAACGCTACTCAAAGGAAGGTTACTAAGCCCTTTCCACACCTGGTTTCCTGACTGGATTTTCAGAAAATTTCAAACACTTAATGTACACATCCATCCGATCTGCTTTTTATTTAAAGAACAGTAAAAGGAAGGAAGGAAGGAAGAAAGGAAGGGAGGGAGGGAGGGAAAGCTAGCAACCTTTCACAGAAAGGAAGTGACTGAAAACATAGTTAAAAAATTAGAAGGGCATGGCTATGGGAAGGGAAAAATGGCTGACAGGGACAGGTTTTCACAGGCAATGATACAACAATGTCCCTTGATCTTTATTTTGAATGGAGTTGCTTTTGCTTTGATTTTGGGGGTTTCACTTCAGTCCCTGCACAAGTGCCCCCACCCCCACAAAAAAGCTGTGGAGAAACATCTTGGTTTGTTTCCAACACTGGAAGCCAGCACAGGTAAACTACTGATGATTTGTTTTTTTGCTGGAAATGGATAAAGCTAGCTATCTTCGAAAACCATGATTATTAATGAGATTGAACCAATACTGGAAGAAAACATGCAATACAAGGAAAAACCCTGAATCTCTTAGAGCCCAACTTTTTGGACAAAATGCACTATGACAGGAAGAAGGCCTTTGTATCGTCCTTCCTTTCCTGCACATTTGAAATCTTTTCAAGCACTTTCTTTTCTGCCCAACCTTTGTACACAGCATGGAAATACAGGCGGCATGTGGGAAAGGAGAAGTTTTAAAAATGAAGGAAGTTTTCCTAGGGTTAGGACTAGTCACTCAAGGACATGCACTGAGGGCAAAGGCAAACAGGAGACAGGAATGACACATCAACGTGAGTGATGCCGGTGCAATGCAGCTGGAGGACACACCACAGGCATCTTTTTTCCAGCACCACAACCAAGGGTTAAAGGTGGAGAGAGCCAAATCTCCTATAGGATGTCTTCATGAATCCTCATTCCTGAGAGCCGATTTGGACTTATGCTTGGAAGGGAAAGGGACATACGCTCTTCTTCCATAGTTCACTTCTTCATTCAAACATAAACTTCACTCCTTCCACCTCCTGGCTGGGAAGCGGAGACGGTTTTAAGTTAAAGTCTATCTTGAATGGCTGAACACACTGTCTGGAGGCCACCTGATGGCAGCATGGGCAAGAGCGAAGAGCTGGCAAGCCTTCATAACAGTTCTGAGATCGCTCCTCCTGCTAAAGAGATTAGACACACAAAAAAGATTTTTTTAGCATCACTTTAGACCAGCTCTGTTTTGAAGGATACACATACTCCTGAGTACTGGTTGTACACAAGCCAAGGACTCCCCCTCTGAGGAAAAAGTCATAGCCAACTCCAGCTCCCAAGTATTCCTTATAGAAGCAGAAGCCCAAATCCAAACCCTCACCCCAGTCCTGATTTTTCTCATACTGTCCCAAAGACAAAATAACTGGGACTCTACACATTTACTATGCTATTAACCATTCTCCTAGGTACCTGACAATTTAAAAAGTGCAATAAATAAAGAAAATTCTAGGGAAATAACCTTTCAACCTTTCATTTATTAGACTAATTATATACTAAATAATTGATGGTGGACAAGAAACCCTTATTCAGGCTCCACTGTGTCTTAGAGAATCCTGAGGAGAATGCTAATGAAAACCACTGTGTGCATCTCTGCACAAAGACAAAATCCTACCGAGTAAAATCAAATGACCACATCCCTAATTATTCCACAGAAGCTGCTCCACTTCTGGGGTCCTCCTCAAAGGGGCAGCTATGAAATAGTAACTAGGAGTATAAAAGGAAAAATGAGGTAAAGAGATCCAGCCAGCATTTGCAATGGGGGCTAACAGACTGCTTGAAGGCAAGCAAATAATGGAAAACTAACTGTCCTGATTATGAAAGAACAAACTTGTCTGTAAAAATGTGATGAGCCTCATTTTTAACTACTAAAAAAGCCTGAAGTGGGACTGTGGCTCAAGTGGTAGAGCACTACCTAGTCTTGAGCACAAAAGCTCAGGGACAGCATCCAGGCCCTGAGTTCAAACCCCAGGACCAGCACACACACCAAAGTTCCAGTACAAATGAAAACTGGCAGTAAAAAATATTCATATTTGCCTAAGGATGGAGTGTAATTAAGACACAAACTCTACTGAAGATGAATGTTTTTAAAAAATCAAATTTATTTGTAAAAATCAAATTTAAACTTGAAGAATATGGATAGCAGGCCTTTGCTATTTTAAGTCTGGTTTCCTGACTGTTCCTATAGGTACCCTGGCCAATTTCCCTGCAACCTTTGAAAATGAACACAACATTGTTACTTAAGAGACTAAGTCGTGAAGTAGAAAGCAACTTAATCACTAATAAACAGCCTCAGTAGCAAACAAGACAACCAATGAAGGGCTGAAGGTGTGGCTCAGTGGCAGAGTGCCTGCCTAGCAAGTGTGGAGTTCTGAGTTCAAACCCTGTACTGTCCCCCAAGGAAAAGGAAAAAAACAAATACTTTACACTATGTGAGCAGTTCCTGTTCCACACCATCAGCATTCTTGTGAAAACCCATAGACACATACAGGCTTGTGGGAACATTAGTCAACAAATCAAAACCAAAGCAAGGTAACAGATATAGACAGAGCACCACAGAGACAAGTCCTTTACTGCAACAAACAGGAAATCTGGAAAGTTCAGTTTAAGATCAACAGTATGTGTGGTCCCCTCAAACTAGAGTTGCCTAAGAAAATACTCCATCAGGATGTCCAAACCCCAGCTTTGTCAGCACACAAAGAGTAAGATCACACAGAATGACAAGAACATTCAACTGACTTTAGCAGGAATTCATCAATCAGTCATCAAGAACTACCAAGAAAGAAAGGAGTGGAGGGGAAGGAGGGAACACTTAGCTCATACAAAGTATTTAAAACAACCGATGATTCAGTAAGTGACCTACAGGTGGCTCAAAGTGCAAGGTGGGGGCAGCACCAGGGAGTAGCAGTATTGCACAGCAGCCCAGAGCAGGGAAATTGGCATGGCAAACCTTACCCACCCCCTCACACAGTACTTTCTGGCTTTGGCCTATGCTTCTGTAACACACCCAGGTGGGTGCACATCAGTACTTCATGCCACCATCTGAGGCCTTTGGATGATGTATATGACAAACCACACCTCTGGGCACTTTGTTACAGATGGCATTTGCTGCTCAGGAGGCAATAAATACACTACAGGTTCTGCTCATATCTCAAACTTCTGGCTTGAGTCCTGTCCACTGGAGAGCATTCAAGGTAGTGAGGAACAGACATTAGTAAGATAGTCCCTGGACAGTCCCTAACTCAGGGTCACCTTCACCAAGCGTCAATGGGTGCATCCTCCCTCAATACAGTGCATCTTCATGGATGTGGCCCTGTTGCTACTGGACACTGATGAGCTGATGGCCAACAACTTTCTATCATTCCACATTCCAGGTGGAATTCTACAGTGGTTTACTTGCCTTCCAACTTTCCCTGAAATACACAATCTCCTGTTATGACACAATAGCCTACACTGGCTTTCTGGTAGGGCTACTCAAAATTTATAGAACTGATTCTGCAGTAGCTATGAGCTGCAGATATTACCATCTGTCATTTGCCTAGATTGGTATGTGCGGTGCATACCTGTAGTCTTGCCTTCAAAAAAATTGGCTCCAGCCGGGCGCCAGTGGCTCACGCCTATAATCCTAGCTACTAAGGAGGCTGAGATCTGAGGATTGTGGTTCAAAGCCAGCCAGGGCAGGAAAGTCTGTGAGACTCTTATCTCCAATAAACCACTAGAAAACCGGAAGTGGCGCTGTGGTTCAAGCAGTAGAGCGCTCACCTTGAGCTGAAGAGCTCAAAGACAGTGCCCAGGCCAAGAGTTCAAGACCCACGACTGACAAAAAAAAAAAAAAAGAAGAAGAAGAAAATTGGAGGAGGATGAAGAGATCACATGGGGAAGCACATAATGCATGCAATCAGGAGTGGTGGGGAATGTGGTAGTACTCTATGCGGTTGCTTTGTGTATATTATAAAATGCCAACACCCCACAGAGGGGTATTGTTAGTCCTTGTGAGAGATAAAGTTGCCTCCATTATGGCTGACCCACCTAACAAAAATAATTAAGAAATGAACACACATAAAGCATAAAGCACCCTGCTCTTCCAAGATGCAAGTATTAGCCTTTGGTGAAGTGAGTGTTTCCTCTAATCTTGTTAACCAAGTGAGTATGGATTATGTCCTTAATGATCCATAACAGCACTATCAATTACTAGAAGGGATTATGAAATGTTTAGATGCATAAATACTAAAATGTATGTCCTCAGTATTTGAGAATTTTAGGGAATAAGACCCATTCCTTCAGGACTGAAAAAAACAAATATTTTTGACTCTCATTTATAGAGCTAAGTGACCACATCAATTATAAGTCAAAGTTAAATTTACTGTGTTATTGAAGAAAGGGTGAGCTTTAAAAAAAATTAAGGGGTTTACTTACCATTTACCATAAAATTCCTATGCAAAGACATGATTAATAACAGAGTTTTGGGATTTTTTTTTTTGGTGGTGGTGTTGGGGACCCCACTCATGCTAGGCAAGCACTTCTGGCTGCACCTCCAGTCCTTACAGACAGGCTTCCAAGAAGCTAGGAGACTATGTCGACAGCATTTTAATTAATTGAACACATCTGGCCTCGTTTAAATCCCCCTAAAGCAACTGAGCTCTCCGTGCCAAGAAAATGCATTTCACCTCCACATCAAGCTTCTTCTGTAGTGGCACCAGTCTGTGCAAGAAATGGGCCAAGGAAGGATGGAGTTTATTTATGTCTAGTCAGTCATCGATCTGCAAGGCTCATAGGACTGTTCAAGCTATTAGCAGACAGACATAGCCTTAGGAGAAATGAATGTGGAGCTGGTAACTGACTGCCAGTGATGAATCATAAATACTGCTACTGGGAAAAGAAATATTGGTGTTCGTGGTATGGTGTTGGCCCATGAAAACTAAATCTAAATCTAGCCAACTTGGAGTAGAATACTTAACACAGTGATCACTTGAGCTTCCCTGTAGAAAAGAATCTAAAACCTAAATACAACTACTGATATTTCATCAATTCTGCTTAGAGTCTACACAATAAACCACAAAAAGAAAAACTAAGAGCAATGTATTAACTAACGTTTTAGTGCATGTACTTCCAAAATTCAACAATATCTTAATAGAAATGAAATCTAGACTGATATTTTCTAAGCAAAAGACCATTTAATCTTGTTCATAGTATCCCTCTTTGACAGGAAGACTGAAAAAGTTTCCCATTCCCCAGCAAAATTCTTCCATCAAAGGGTCGGGTTGAGAGGAAGGGAGGAGATTAATGAAAGAGGTGATACTGATCATGATTCTCCTCTATCATAGAAAAGTGAAAAAAAACTAACAGATATTTTCAAAAGCTTTAGGTCTAAAACAAAAACAAACTAAAAAAAGAAAAAGCTGAGGAGTTAACATACTACATGGTATACTTATATGCTTCTGGTCTTTTGGTTCTCTCCTCCTGTTTTCAGTGGGAGGAACACTGAAAGCCTTCTTTTCCTCCTGTTAGTTATACTAACAGCTTCACTGTTTCTAGAGTCCCCAGACAGAGACAACCACCACTGGTGGAGTTCACGCAACAAAAAGACAGAAAAGATGCTACAGTTAAACAAGCAGAAGCTGTAAGATAAGCTTACATTTCTGAGTATTTGGCTCTTTTATTTGAAGCAAAAAAAAACAAAACACCAGAAATGAAAAAACATACCAACAAACAAAAGAAACTTAAAGCCAAAACAGCTGAAGAAATGGATTAAACCAGGGGTTCTTATTCTTGGGGGTCATGGATTCCTCTATAAAAACTGGGTGAAAGCTATGGGCATCTTCCCCAGAAAAATATCCATAAAATATTTTTCGTTTATTATCAGGAGAATGTAGGCCCCTTGAAACCTATTTATAGACCCAAGGTTAAGAATCACTGAATTAATCCAATTCTGATTTAGCCTGTCTTTAGCTGCTTAAAATTCAGAGATTATTTGCTGCTGGAAACAAGAGAGAAGGAAAAAAAAAAAAAAGCTGCAGTTAAAGGAAGTCAGGGGCTGAACAAAGCAAGGCCACAAAGCAAGCCAGACAGTGCTCCCAATGTGTCCTTACCTGCCAAGGGCTGGCTGAGGGGCGCCTGCACTTTACCCTTCGTTGGTCCTTCCAGAGGTAAACCTCTGTCCCCTTTGTAGAGTTTCGGTTTAAATGGAGAATCTTTCTCTTTACCTTTTGATCCTTTAGGCCGGCCTGCTTGCTTCTTCTTGGATTTGCCATCCCCCTTCACACCCAGTAGTGGATGGACTTCTGTAGAAGGACAGACAGGCATGGAAAGGGATCCTCACAACACTGGTCTCAGCACCCCACCAGACCTCTGAGCACAAAGAACACTGCTTCTGTGGTCCAAGTCACCTACACAAGCAGGAAAGTCTGTCTTGTTCATTATTTTAAAAATGGGAATGGTCATCAAGTATCTTTGGAGGTTAGAGCAAAGGGCATACATGGCCCTTAAAAGCCACGGCAACTCAAAATTGATAAAGTAGCTGAAAGATACCACAGCAAACCAAGGCAGAACAGAATGCATTCATGAGTATATGCACATACTCTGGAACCAGACAGACCCGGGTGGAGTTCTGACTCCAGCACTTTCTGTAGGATCCTGGGCAAGTTACATAACCTTAGCCTAAATTTTCCCCTTTGCAAAGCAGGAACAGTAAAACAATTTTCAGGGTCAATGAAATATCAGCAGTGGCATATAAACTACAATGGTGCCTGGAACAGAATAGATGCACTGAAAACATCAGGAAAATGTGTAGTTGCACAGTTAACTGATCTGTAGATTGCTAAAGGAGAGGAGGATGCCCAATGGTACAGGAACAAACATACACACACAAACACATACATACACACACAAACACACATCCCACTTTACCCACCCCAGAACGTAGTAATAAAACCTTTCAAAATTGCACTGTAACTGGGAGAGTATGAAGGAAGGGGTAATACTGCCCCCCAAAGCATTATAAATTATAAAATTATATATTATTTAAGTATATTTATATAATTATAAATTATAAAACAGTAACCCCTTTGTATGTCATCTTTTTTTTTTTGGGTCCGGTTGTGGGGCCTGAACTCTGGGCCTGGGCGCTGTCCCTCAGCTCTTCAGCTCAAGGCTAGCACTCTACCACTTGAGCCACAGCGCCACCGCCTTTTTTCTTTTTGCTTATGTGGTGCTGAGGAATCAAACCCAGGGCCTCAGGCATGCAAGGCAAGTGCTCTACCACTGAGCCACCTTCCCAGCCCTGTCATCTTAATTAAAAAAAAAAAATTAAAGTCACATTGTAAAAGCAGAAAGAATAAAATGAGATCCAGGTACTGGTGGCTCATGCCTGTAGTACTAGCTACTGAAAAAGCCAAGCTCAAAACCAGCAAAAGCAGAAAGTCTACAGGACTCTAATTCAAAAAGCTAACCAGCAAAAAGCCAGGCTGGAAACATGGCTCAAGTGGTAGAATGCCAAGTCAAACAAGCAAAGCCAAGCAAGTGTGAGTCTGTGAGTTCAAAGCCTAGTACTGGTAAAAACAACAGCAAACATCAAAAACACCACTCACACTTGATCAGTATCTCACTACCTAGTAAAACCATTCTTATGGGGAAAACATTTTTATTAAAGAAAACCAACAGTTCAAGGAGGCAAATTCTGAGCCATGTGTCAGGAGACAAATATGTGTCATCTCAGGTAAGGCACTGAAGAGCAGAATTTCCCCAATTTAAAAGTGAACCCAGGAGACTGCAATCTGAGGATTATGGTTCAAAACTACTAGCCTAGGCAGGAAAGCCCATGAGACCCTTATCTACAATTAATCACCCCAAAAAAGTGGAGCTGTGGCTCAAGTGGCAAGCAAACAAAAGCTCAGAGACAATGCCCAGACCCTGAGTTCAAGGCCCAGGACCAGTGTACACACACACGCACACCCACACACACGTGCGCCAGACCCAGTCATTACAAGGCTGTAAAGCACTATAAAAAGACTTGTGGGGAAATTCCCTTAAGGCCAAAGTCACTCAAGCAGGAAACTGCTAGTTTGTGCTGGAGAGTGCCCGTGGAGGTGGCCCTTACCATCATTGGGTACTCCTTGCAGCTCTATATTGGTGGTTTTAGGTTTCTTCTTGGGTGGCTGGGAGCCATCGGCTGAGGACTGCCGCTTCTTCTCTGAATTAGCCCCTTCGTCCAGCAGGGTGGTTTGCACTGCGTCTGGTGGGGGGCCGTAAGGATTTTCTTCTGGGTCTTCTACCTCAGGGGCAATGGGTAAATACAACAGAGCCTTTGAATCTTCCAGCTCTTCATCACTATTTGGGACAGGATCAGACAAGGGATTGGAAAAAAGAGGAGACAGTTGCTTAAACCACGAGCCCTTACTCTAACACCTATGTTAAGTGCACACAATGGGTATGGATCAAGAATGTCAAGACAAATAAGGAAATCAGAACAAGTAATGAGAAACTGAATAAATGACCTCCATTTTTTAAAGTTCTGTATCGGGGAGAAGGGCCAGGAAAGCAGGACTACAGGACAAAGACTGCATTTCAGTTCCTATACACCAAAGGAGTTCTTTCTCTCCACACTCAAGATGGGACTGCAGGGGAACCAAGCAGTACCCCAGCAGAAACAGGAGCAACAGCCCAAATGTACCTTGCCTTCTTTGCAGCTCACCTGCTGCAGAAGGCAGCGATGGGGTCCACACTGGTGACATCGACTTCCTCATCCTCTGCGGCATCGGCTCCTGTAATACACAGGAGAAGTCTCAGAGGTGGAAAATTGCTTTTTACTTACAGCTTCATGATCTTCCCAACTACAAATCAGGAGCTACCAGGGAAGAAAACAAAAAAGTTCATTTGCTTAATCATCTAGCAAAGAAGGGCCGAATTTTCACCAGAGGCTAGGCACAGGAAATAGCAATGACCAATGACCAAGAAAGCTAGGAACAGCTCTTTAGTAAAAACTGAAGTTTTACTGGGAAAACAGACACAAAGTGTTCATCTGACTTTACTACAATAAGTGCAGTGAAGGTATGTGCAATGTGCTTGGGGACAGGAAAGATGGAAAATTTATGTGAAAGTCTGAGAAGGCTGCTCGAACTACCCAGCGCACTCTGTATCCCTTGGTGAAAAGAAAGGAGTGCACAGGAGGCGTGCCAGTGTGCCGTATGAGTGAGGAACAGCCCCTTGCAAACGCCAACCTCAATCCCACCCCCCAGGGTCCTGTTCCAGAAGTAGCCCAGGAACCCCTGCCTTGTGGTGTTATCGTAGTGCCAACAGAGCACAACGAGCATGTCTAGTCACCAGTCCCACCACATGTAAAAGTCTGCGCCACACACCATGAAGCATATAAAATGGCTAATCTCTATCTTCAAGAAGTTCTATCTATAAAAGTTGGTGCTGCTGGTTCATGTTTGTAATCTAGTTACTCAGGAAGCTGAGATCTCAGAATGGAGGTTCAAAGCCAGCCCAGGCAGGAAAGTCTGTGAGATTCTTATTTCCAGTTAACTAAACAAAAATAGTGTAGCTCTAGGTGATAGCCTAGCCTTGAGCAAAAGCCCAGAATTCAAAATACCCACTCCCTCACACACAAAAAAAGATTTAAAAAAGAAGTTCAGAAGATAACAGTAACAATGAACATAGTATTAGAAAATGACATCTGAGTGTTTATTATGGGCTAGATATATATTAAGTCCTTTACTTGAACATTTATTCCCTACAATCCTATAGGACAGAACAAATACTACTATTGCACTATTTTATAGAGGAAGTATTCTGCAAAGGGGTCTGAGTCCACAGCCCATGCTCCTGACCTTTCTCTTACTAACAAAGGAGAGAACAGCTGAGTACTCAGCCCCACTATGGGTGCTACTGCACAATGTCACTTAATTACCTAGAGTGCGAAGTCAAGAGAGCTGCTTAGGCCCAGTAATGCTATAAATTGAAACTCTGAAAACTGTGACAGGTGACTAAGTGCTGAAAGAAATGTACTACACAAATTAAGATTAAGTAAAGCAATCACTCCTCCTTCTGGCAGTCCTATCTGTGCTGAGAATTATTACCTGTCTGCTCAGGTTCACTCTTATCTTCATCTTCAATGTCAAACTCTGATTCTCTTTCCTCATATTCGACATTTTCATCCAGCTCTTTGAAATCTGGTGCGAATGCACTCCAATTTTCCTACACCACAACAAAAAACACTAGTTCACCATATGAGAAAGTAGTAACTAGACACTAACAAGTGAAAAATGTGCATAATATGCTGAGTTCTGTTTGAACATGAAGAGTAAAAAGTAGGTGTGTTTTAAGGTTTACCACCTTAAAGTATATTCTTTAAGTATATGCTTTAAGGTTTACCACCTTAAAGTATATTCTACCCAAATGGTTCCAAGTTAATTGATATTGCCTGCTTTCTTTAAGATACAATTTTGAAGTAAAATGTTAAATTCTTATGACTACAATGAATAAATTAAAGCTTAAAATTGTCCAAAGTAAAATCAAGACATAAAATAACTTGAATTGAAAAAAAGAACTTCTCACCAAAATGAAGTAGAACTATATACAATGAACTTATTGATCTACTTTGTAAGCATCACATATGCAAAGAAAGTAACTTAGGTAGTCTTGAGCTTATAATATAAAGTTCTTTGACTAAAACGAGTATCGAGTTTCAAAGCAAATCAACCAAAGGAATACTTACTACTTGATTTTGGGCCCAGATGGACACCACGCCACTAGAGATGGATGCTATGATAGGTCGAACAGGATGCCACTAAAATTTAATGAGGCAAAGAAAAATGAGTTATTCGAACAGACTGAAGATGTTCTGGGCTATACAGATGACAAGCGAGATGGCATGCTCCACTCACAGCTACATCCAGAAGGAGTTCTCCCCTTGTCCCATGGAGAATCTTCACCAGGTTGCCAATGCTCTTCTCCCAGATGTAGAGGGCATGCTGTCGGGCAGAGCCTGCCACTATGTACTCTCCATCCCCAGAGAAGCAACATTTCTTCCATGGGGTCCTAAAGAACAAAGAAAGTCCCCAAAGGGAACTGGAACTTGAGGCCAAGGGAAGAACTACCACACACACACGTTTGGACTACCATACACACCTATTCACCAAGTCCTGCAATTTCTGCATGGGTTCAGGCTCTCCATCTCTTCCACAGGTTAAGATTTCTCTGCCGTCATAAACTCTAATAATCCGATCAGCTGTGTTAATTAAAAAGCAACTACAGAAAGGAGAAAAATATCCTGTTAACAATTTCTACTACTATCATTTTATTAGAATGGTAACATAGATAGCAAGTAAAAAACATAGAAACCAAGTAAAAATCTAAGACTAGAATACTTAAAAACTTCTGTCACCTTCCAAAGCAAAAGCAGTGAGAATTTTTTTATTCTTCCTATATACTCTGACTCCAGCATGTCTAAGCTATCATCAGTACTTAACTGAGAACCAAGATTTCTAAACTGACGCGAGCTTACTAAGTTCACAAGCCTATATTCAATGTACATTAATAATTCATTTCTCTGGCCTGTTTAGAATACAGTATATTCTTAATGAGTTAATAAACTAAATAGGTCATTATTTTTGTGTGTATGTCTGTCCCTGAGCTTAAGCTCAAGGCCTAGGTGCTGTCAAGAGCTTCTTTAGCTCAAGACTAGCACTGTACCACTTCAGCCACTGTTCTACTTCTGGCTTTTTGGTAGTTAATTAGAGATAAAAGTCTCACTGACTACCTCTGAACCATGATCCTTAGATCTTAGCCTCCTGAGCAGCTAAGACTACAGGCATGAGCCACTAAGCATATCATTTATAAACACCCAACTTTTTTCTGTAATAACAAAACATAGAAATATGTTCAAAACACAAAGTATTTTAGCACTTTCTAACACAGCCTTGTGCTGTACTTAATTCAGAGTATTTTGAGTTGGTGGACTGCTCAGTGGTAAAGTGCTTGGCTAGATCAATCCTCAGTACCATAAACATACACATGCATATGCACAGGTGTACACACATACACACACAGAGTATCCTGAACATGAAAGTCCTCTAAGTACATATGGGTGTTCCTAAACAGAATAGGATGATTGGTATTGCTGACTGACACCTGGTTCTTCCCGTTTTTGTTGATATATCTATCTCTAACTGGACAAACAAACTTAGCAAGATAGTATCTGGAATTAAATGGTAAATAGGGAATGAGTGCTGTGGCTCATACCTGTGATCCTACCTACTCAGGAGGCTGAGATCTGAAAACTGGATTCAAAGCCAGCCCAAGCAAGAAGAGTAACCACCAAAAAGGTGTAAATAGAGCTCAATATGGCTCAAGATATTGAGTACCAGCCTTGAGCAAAAAAGCTAATGGGAAAGCTTCCAGGCTCTGGGTTCAAGTCCTAGTACTGGCACCAAAAGAAACCAAAAAACAAAATAGGTAAATATGCTTTATGTAAGTGCATATATGCATATTTGACTGCAACATAAACTTCATGATACCAGTTCTAATTATAAAAATATTTAGGAGCTGGGGTTTAGCTCAGTGGTAGAGCTTAGTGGCAAGGGGTCTCAACCCCCACTTGAAAAATGAAATAAAACTATCCAATGCTTAGGATGTGCCAGACATTTTGGGAATAAGTTCTGACCTCTTGAGTACCTTTTCTGTAAAGGACCTGGTTATTAAACAAAGAAGATATAACTTCAAGTTCAATGAGGGAAATTTTATAAAATCAGGAACCAGACTTTGTGTTTCTAACAATTTCAATCAATATTAGAATATACACAAAAACAACAAAAATTTTTTTCAACATTCTTTCACATTCTACTCACTATTAAAACCTGTTCCTAAAAGAACAGGATCTGACCAAATATGGTGATATATGCCTGTAATCCCTGCACTTAGAATGGAGTGAGAACACAACTCCAAAACAAAAAATACCATCACATACAAAGATGACAAGGCCACACTCACCTCCCCTTCCGGGCAAACTCAATTGACTTAATGGCCGTGGTATTGCTTGTCCCAGTTGTTACTCTGAAGGAAGCAACAAGATCCTGAGAATCTGTTTTTAGGACCAAAATCTAAAGTTTACAGGGAAAAAAAGAATTTTAAGTAAGTATTCTGATAACTGACAGTAATTGATCTGGCTCCTCTTTCTAAAATAGTGCAGAGGCTGAATAGCAATGCAAACATGTCTATTCCCATTAATACCAGTACTGGTGTTACCTTTTACTTCTTCAAACTAAGGACTGAGTCTAAAGCATCCACTCTTAAAATATGGTGTTTAACATTGTTCACAAAGGCTGAGAAGTAGAAGCAACCCAAGTATGGCAAGGGAGAACACATGATTCCACATATAAGAGGTACGCACAACAGTCAAAGTCACAGAGACAAAGCAGAAGATGGTTGCCAAGGATTAGTTAAGAGCAGGAACTGGGAAATTATTACTTAATAGGCATAGTGCTGCAGTTCTGCCAGCTGAAATGTCTTTTCATTACTACCATTTAACAAAAGACCTTTTAGCTTCTTCTAGGTCAAATGATCTCTGTCGATTCTAAATCTAAGAAACAAAATTATTATGAAGGGCTGGGAAGGTGGCTCAGTGGTAGAGCGCACTCGCCTTGCATGCATGAGGCCCTGGGTTCGATTCCTCAGCACCACATAAGCAAAAAGAAAAAAAAAGCTGGAAGTGGCGCTGTGGCTCAAGTGGTAGAGCGCTAGCTGAAGAGCTGAAGAGCTGAGGGACAGTGCCCAGGCCCAGAGTTCAGGCCCCACAACCAGACCCAAAAAAAAAAAAAATATTGTGAAGGCATAAAGGAAAAATGAGCTACATTTGCTCATTGCATACTTAGTTCAGGAATAAAAGACATTTCAAAAAAGTAGTCCAAGCCAGGAGCTAATGGCTCAGGCTAATAATCCTAGTTCCTGAGGAGAATCCAGAGGACTGAGGCTCAGTCTGGGCAGCGAAGTCCATTAAACATTACCTACAAATAACCAGCAAAAAGCTGGGCTACAGCCAGGCATCAATGGCTCACATCTGTAATCAGAGCTACTCTGGAGCCTGAGAACTGAGGATTGTGGTTCAAAGCCTTCCCGGGCAGGAAGGTCTGAGAAACTCTTATCTCCAATGAACTTACAAAAAGGTTGAGTTTAAATCCCAGTTTAAAGGGGAAAAAAAAAAAAAAAAAGCCAGGCAGTGGTGGCTGATACCTATAATCCTAGCTACTCAGGATGCTGAGCTCTGCGGATCAAAGTATGAAGCCAGTCTGGGCAGAATAAGACTTTTCTCCAGTTAAGCATCAGAAAAAAGCCAGAAATGCAGCAATGGCTCAAATGGTAGCCTTGAGCACTAATACCCTGTAACACCACCAAGACCTGAGTTAAAGCCCTAAACAGATATTTAAAAAAATAAGTCACAAAAGCAGGACAAAAGGTGAACAAATACAGCAGTGGCACACACTAGACACTATGTTGAAAATAAACTATACAACTTGAGGGTGGGGATGGGAGTGAAAAACAGAGAGAGAGACTGAGGGAACCTGAGGTAACACTGGCCAACAAGAAATGTACTCTCTATCTGGTTTATGTAACTGTAATCCCTCTGTACATCACCTTTATAATAACAAAAAAAATTTTTTTAAGTGAACATGGCATAAGAACTCCCAGGGTTGGCTTACCTTGCCTTTTGCATTTCCTGTATAGATATATTCCCCTCGCCTATCAAAAGATGCCACCACGTTCAAATCCGAGTCATCGTCTACCGGCAGAACAACGTGTTTGGAATCTGAAAGGGTCAACATGACAGGAGCAGATTTCATGGGACACACGAGAACCTTGTTCCTGTTTAAAAATATGAACAGCACATTGACTACTGCTTTGGTATCAACAGGCTTGATTTCCTGTCCTCTCCCCCAATTCCTGTCCCCTACTCTCACTCTCCCAAGCCATGCAGATTTCAAACCATAAAAAGCACAAAATTTATATGTTGAATAACGGGAAAAATTGAATGAAATTATGGGATACTATTTTGACAAAATTTGATCATTTAAAATAAAACTATGAGACAGGCACTGGTGGCTCAAGCCTGTAATCCTAGATACTCAGGAGGCTGAGATCTGAGGATCACAGTTCAAAGCCAGATCCGGCAGGAAACTCTGTAAGACTCTCATCTCCAGTAAATCACAAAAAAAGGCAAGTGGCTCAAGTGGTAGAGCACTGGCCTTGAGCAAAAGGAGTCCAGGGTCAGCACTCAAACCTAGCTCAGGGCCCAGGACTGGAAAAGAAAAAACTATGATAAATTAGTAAAATATGAAATAATTTTTTTAAAATACTGGTTATTTTATTTAATATATATTTTTAATGTATATTTTAGCAGGGTACACTGGGAGCTCATGCCTATTATCATAGCAACTCAAGAGGCTAAAATCTAAGGACCACAGTTCAAAGACAGCCTGGGCAGAAAAGTCCTAGAGACTTTTCCCACCCATTAACCAGCAAAACTAGAACTAGAGGCATGGCAACAGTCTTGAATGATAAAGCAAGAGCAAGAGGTCTTGAGTTCAAGCACCAGTACTTGTATACACACATGTACACATACACACACAAAATATGTCTATTTAAGCCAGGTGCTGGTGGCTCACACCCGTAATCCTAATTCGCTGTAATGCTAGCTAATCAGGAGGCTGAGATCTCAGCATCACAGTTCAAAGCCAGTCCAGGCAGGAAAGTGCATGAGACTCTGATCTCCAATTAACCACCAGAAAACTAGAAATGGTGTGCCCGCTTCAGCAGCACATATACTAAAATTGGAATGATACAGAGAAGATTAGTATGGCTCCTGCGCAAGGATGACACACAAATTCGTGAAGCGTTCCATATTTTTTTTTTAAAGAAAACTAGAAATGACACTGTAGTTCAGGTAGTAGAAACCTAGTCTTGAGCAAGAAAGCTCAGGGAGAGTGCCCAGGCCCTGAGTTCAAGACCCATCACCACTACCAACAAAAATGTATATTCAAGTATATCAAATATGGACTGAGCTATGGGGCATTATTTAACCCAAGTTTTCCATTTAAAGAGTTGACTATAAGAGACCTCTGAGAAATGAAAATGCTATGTGTGGACAATGCAGGGTGAATTACTCTTTCATGGAGTAGTTTTAATATTAAAAACTGTTTTCTCATACAAAAGAAATCAAAATAATCAAGGAAGAAAAAGCTCCAGGTCAAGGTCCAGTTGTTAAAATTTATTCCTTTCAAGCCGGGTGCTGGTGGCTCACACCTATAATCCTAGCTACTCAGGAGGCTGAGATCTGAGGATTACAGCTGAAAGCCAGCCCGGGCAAGAAAGTCTGTGAGACTCTTAGCTCCAATAAATAACCAGAAAACCAGAAGTGGCGCTGTGACTCAAGTGGTAGAACACTCACTTTGAGCTGAAGAGCTGAGGGACAGTGCCCAGGCCTAGAGTTTAAGCCCCAGGACTGACCAAAAAATAAAAATAAAAACATATATATATATATATATATATATATATATATTCCTTTCTTTGTTCTTTGCCAAAGTCTTACCACCGATTTTTGAGTACATATACAATTTCAAAAATCCATGAAAATCACCTTAAAATGCATGCATCAAAGAACAGTTATTTTCTGTAGTTTTGTTTTTGTGTGCTTTTGCCTCCTGAAGCCTTAAACTGCAACTGTCCTGACCTAAGCTGTCCACACAGAACTAAAGCCCACCCAGGGGGAAGGAGTCTTAAACATACTGGTCTCGTGGGTGATACTGGACTTTCAAGATGGGTGAAGGAAATCGAAACCTCTGGTCGCAGTCGCCTGAAAGAACATCCCATTGTGACACTATGTTATCGGTTGAAGCACTCACGAGCTTATGACCATCTCGACTCCAGCTAGGAAGAAAATGGGTAATTTAGTACATTTTTGAAGTAAAAATATCATAGCATTATTATGGATAAAATGTGGAAGCCTCACAAACTGTCCTAACTGTGCAAGTTAACATGTTTTATAACCTATTCAAATTACAAAAACTTTCTTAACTAAGCAGTTAATAAGAATGCTCTTAATGATTGAACCTCCACCTCCCCTTGCCCTACTTTTTGGTAGTTTTGGGTTTAAACCCAGGGCCTTTTATACCACTTAAGTAATGCCTCAGGCCCTATTTACTTTAGCTATTTTTTTGGATAGTCTCACAGTTTTGACCAGGCCAGCCTTTGACCATAATCCTCTATCTCCTACCATGCCTTCTACATTGCTGAGACTGCAGTAGGGTCGCACTACACATGGCTTGTTTTGTTGTGATGGGTATCTTACTTTTTTGCCCAGGCTAGCCTTGTACTGTAGTCTTCTAGATCTCTGCCTGCCATGCAATTATTGAATGAAGATAAAAAACACTCTGCCTGGCCATGATATTTCTGTTTTGATGCCAGTCCTGGTGCTTGAACTCAGGGCCTAGGAGTTGTCTCTGAGGTTTTCTGCACAAGACTAGAGCTCTACCACTTAAGCCACAGCTTAAGCCAGGATTTATCTATTTATAGTTTACAGTTTTCCTACATAGGCTGGCTTCAAACTGTGATCCTCAGCTCTCAGCCTCCTGAGTAGCTAGGATTATAGGTGTGAGGCACTAGCGCCTGGCTAGCCATAGTATTTTTTTATATCTAATGTTACCTCAAAAGAATCCTTCAAGTGGCCTGGTGAAACAAGAAACACAAACATCTTTAAAAAGTCTCCAAATTAGCCAGGTGCCAGTGGCTCACGCCTTAATTGTAGTGACTCAGGAGGCTGAGATCTGAGGATCCTGGCTTGATGCCAGGCCCAGGAGGATCCTATGAGACTCTTATCTTCAATTAGCCAGAAAAAAAGTCAGAACTGTGGCCAAGTGGCACAGCACCAGCCTTTTAACAGAAAAGCTCAAGGAATATACCTAGGCCCTGAGTTCAAGCCCCAAGACTAGCACAAGAAAAAGCAAATAAATAAATAAAAAGCTGGGTGCTGGTGGCTCACACCTATAATCCTAGCTACTCAGGAGGCTGAGATCTGAGGATCGAGGTTCAAAGCCAGCTCAAGCAGAAAAGCCTATGAGACACTTATCTCCATAAACCACTCAAAAAACCTGAAACAACACTGTGGCTCAAGTGGTAGAGCACTCGCCTTGAGCTGAAGACTTGAGGGACAGTGCCCAGGCCCAGAGTTCAAGCCCCACAACCGACAAAGAAAAAGAAAAAAAAAATCAACATATTTGATAGAAAACTTTATTCCAACTCTTTTAAGAAGAATCAAATTTCATCCCTGAAGTTGAATAAAGACTTTATTCATGGCCCTACAAAAAAAAAAAAAAGAAAACTTTATTCCAGTGAAGGAATAGGGGCATGCTTGTGATTGCTACAGTGGCTGGGATTCCAGCCCTTCAACTGGGATTCCAGCCCTTGGGCTAGATGACTCCAAGTTCTCCTGCTAACCAGGACTTCATTCTAAATGAAAGGTAAACACTACAGTTATACTATAAGCTGCAATCTGAAAAGAGGTCCTTGCAGGACTGAAATGTTCTAGACAGGACCTGATATAAGTCCATATTACAACAAATTTTTCCCCAAATGTGATTCTAGGACCTGTATGAGAAACTGCATGATTAATGGCTAAATACTTAAAACACTATTAAAATATCTATATAGAAGTCAGGTGCCAGTGGCTCACACCTGTAATCGTAGCTACTCAAGAGGCTATGATCTGAGGATCATGGTTCAAAGCCAGCCCGGGCAAGGAAAGTCCGTGAGACTCTTATCTCCAATAAACCACTAGAAAAATCTATGTAGAGCTTAGCAAATACAGTTACCACTCATTTCTTTTTCAACTTACACTTAACATATTAATTTAAATGTTCTTGTTCTGGGCCATTTGCACCTCAGTAACAGAGGGCTTGTCAGGCATGTGCAAGACCCTGGGTTCATCACAAATAAAAAATTCTTACCATAATGAACAGACTGGATGGATGTGTGCACTTATTATTTTCGCAATGCCTCTGGTCAAGAAATCCCAGATGACAATGCGGCCATCATTGCAGCCGACAGCAAGGAGGGTGCCCCACCTGTTAAAGGTGCAAGTCAGGGCCATGCTGATACAATCCAAAGTTCCATCAGCTTCCTAAAAACCAAAGCAGATAAACAAGTACACACAAAAATGGCCATGTACTAAAATTCTTTTTAAACACCACTACTGGGGCTTAAACTCAGGATACTGGTTGCTATCCCTGAACTTTTTTGCTAAAGGCTCCACTTCCAGCTTTTTTGCTGGGTAATGAGATATGAGTCTCAGGGACTTTCCTGCCCAGGCTGGCTTTGAACCACAATCGTCAGATCGCAGGCTCCTGAGTAACTAGTACTAGACATGAGCCATTTGCACCTGGCTTCTAAACCGTTTCTTAAAGGTTCCCTATCCTGGGCACCAGTGGTTCACACCTGTAATCCTAGCTACTCAGGAGGCTGAGATCTGAGGATTATAGTTCAAAACCAGCCCAAGAAGGAAAATCTGTGAGATTCTTATCTCCAACAAAACCAGAAGTAGAGCTGAGGCTCAAGTGGTAGAGCACTAGCCTTGAGCACAAAAGCTTCAGAGACAGTACCCAGGCCCTGAATTCAAGCCCCAGCGCGCGCACATGCTTGCGCTGACGCTGACACACAACAAACACACACACACACACACACATACAGCCCTGAATTCAAGCCCCAGCGCGTGCACATGCTCGCGCTGACGCTGACACGCTCACACACACACACACACACACACACACACACACACACACACACACACACACACACAGTGTTCCCTATCACTTATGTCCTGAATTTAAGTTGCAACACATGCTGAAATAATCTCTGCATAGTCGTTAATACTTTCTAAATTAATTTAAATGAAGAAATATTCACAAAAGTTAAACACTAATTTTGGAATCAGATGTGGTCAATCCCTTACATTACCACTGTAACTGTACAAACTTTCTAAAAGCCAAACGGAAAAAGCATAACCAACATCCTGAAAATAGTCACACTTACTTAGTAATCAGTGTTCCAGGAATTCATTCCAAATGAAATAATTTACCAGGTATGTAACAATGGGGAAATTAAACACATTATTTTACATCGGATTTTACATTGGTATCAAGCCTCTGAAAATAACAATTATTGTACTGAAACTTATGCCAGTGTTTAAAAAAAAAGCACACTTCACACTGTCAGTAGAAGCAAAAGCAATGATTAAAATCTGAAAAACCACACACACAAAAAAAACCTATGCAACAATTGATATTATTACTTATGAAAAACTTATATTAAATTGTAATTTTTCCCCCAGTCCTGGGACTTGAACTCAGGGCCTGAGTACTGTCCCTGAGCTTCTTTTGCTCAAGGTTAGCATTCTACCACTTGAGCCATATCACTACTTCTGGCTTTTTCTATGTGGTACTGAGGAATCAAACTCAGGGCTTCATGCATGCTAGGCAAGCACTTTAACACTAAGCCACATTCCTAGCCCCTAAAATTGTAATTTTTTATTTAAGATTTATAACACTACGAAAAGATCTCCAATCAGTACCGACTATTTCTCCTTGCTCTAAGTTAGACACTTCATTTTTTAATTACAACAAACTATATGCCAAATCACTTAATGTTTCTTTTCATCAAACATAATTACTATGTAGTCTCCATGATCCATAACGACCAAATGTCTCTTACCTCTGGATAGTTCTGTCCAAAGGACTCTGCAAGGAAGCAAAGAGAGTGTAAGGAACACATTAGCCACACCAGCTTACCAGCAGCACCAACAGTTCCCTGCCATGACAGGGAACTGATGCCCTTTTAAGGGTGAAGTCATACCTATGTCCAATATCACACACAAAAGGGTATTTGCCAGTTTACTCTTATTTTGTAACTATGTAGTACATGAATTCTCCTGAAGATAGATATATGACCTGTGATATTGCAACAAAATAAATATGGATGCAGATATATGACAATCCAGTCTGCTTTTATTTGGTGAAACATCAACACAGCAGGGGAGCACTGATTCTGGGGCTTGAGCTTGAGGCCTTGCACTCTCATTTGGACTTTTAAAAAATTGTTATTATTAAGGTGATATACACAAGGGCTGCCATTCCACAAGTCAGGTAATGAATACATTTCTCTTTGGACTTTCCCCATTCCCACCCCCCCCAACCATCCTGTCCACAAGTTGCATAGGTCATTTTCAATAGTGTCTACTGAGTATCATGGTCACTCGGCTTTTTTGCTCACACAGCTGGTACTCTGCCACTTAAGCCATGCCTCTAGTCTTGGATTTTGCTGCTTAATTGGCAATGGAGTCTTGCAGACTTTTCTGCCTGGACTACCTTGGAACTTCAATCCTCTAGATCTCAGCCTCCTAAGTGGCTGGTATTATAGGTTTTAAAGACTTTTTAAAAACATTTTTAATTAAAGATATTTTTATGAACCAAATATTCTCCAGATGACAATGGCTCACACCTGTAATCCTGACTATTCAAGGAAGCCATGATCTTGAATAATGTCGATGACAATCTGAGCTGAAAAGTCCTTAAGACTTTCATCTTCAAAATGCGAGAAGTGGTAGAGCACTAGCTAGCCTTGGGCAAAAAAAATATTTAGGGACAATGCCCAGATCCTGAGTTCAAGCCCCAGGACCAGCTATATATACGTACATATGTCATATCAAATTCTAATGCATTTATAATGATTTTTTGAATAATATGCTTTAAAAACACATTTTAATTTCTAAATTAATAAGTATCAGTGAATACATTCCATATAAACAAAAGCATCTTTGGGGCTCTTCAACTTCTTAAAAGTATAAAGCAAGGGACCCTAGAATCAAAATGTTTCAGACATGCTGATATAGGTAGGTAAGTTCTAGCAAGTCTTTCCCCATCATTTTGTGAACATTTCACAATTTATTTCTGTATTTACTAAAACGAATGATGAGAGAAGGCAAGAATCAAACCAGTCACATTATCTTCATCCCAAATACTCTCTGAAAGGGTTTTGTTGTCGTTTCTTGGTTTCGGGGTTTTTTTTGGTGCCCGTCCTGGGTCCTGAACTCAGGGTCTGATGCTGTATCTGAGCTTTTTTTGCTCAAGGCTAGTGCTCTACCACTTAAACCACCACTCCACTTCTGTTATTTAGTGGTTAATTGGAGAAGATTTTCAGACTTTCCTGCCCAGGCTGGCTATGAACCATGATCCTCAGATCTCAGCCTCCTCAGGAGCTAGGATTATAGGTGTAAGCCTCAGCACCATTATCACAGAAGCACGTGTGCACAGGAAAACAGTCCTGCAGAGTTTTAGGAATAGTGATCCCAGAATGTATACCTACAATAGGTGAAGTACTATGCTTAACAACATTTAGGTTTTAACATAATTTGGCAGTTCACTGAACAATTCTCTAAGTTTATCTCTTATACACTTTGGTACAGACATCCACAATGCATTTCCTGGTATTTGTACACCAGTAATAAGCACTCTGAGCTATCATGTATAGTAATACCATCCCTACTTATAAGGAGTTTCATCAAGTGGCAGTGAGCTAGTCTTGAGTGAAAAAGCTCAGGGACAACACCCAGGCTCTGAATTCAAGCCCCAGAACTGGCACACACACACAAAAATCTACTGCTTTAAGTCTGCAAAAGTTTTATTACATTCTTTCCTTTATAAAAACCAACAAAAAGCCAAGCACAGGTGGTTCATACCTACAGTCCTAGTTACTTAGGAAGCTCACATCTGTGGATCAAAGTTCACAGGCAGCCTGAGCAGACAAATGTTCCAGGTTCTTATCTCTGAATAACCAATAAAAAGCTAAAAGTGGAGATATAGCTCAGGTAGTGGAGTGTCAACCTTGAACACAAAGGCAAGCAAGAGCCCAAAGCCTCAAATTCAAGCCTCAGTACCGTTTTAAAAAATTAGCAAATAATAACAACAGGAAATTAAAGCATGAAAGATTATTTATCTGGTTGTCTGGTACAAGAGTCACAGGTCTTACCACGCTAGGGATGCACTCTACCACTTAGCTGCAATTCCAGCCCTTTACTAGGTTAAGTGGTACTTCCATTTTCCCCAAATTCTATAGCCAATCACACCAATAGTACAAAATTTCCTACTTTCTTCTAGATTTTGCAAAGTATTATTTTATTATGATTTCGTATTATCCAGTCATGTTTGCCGCTTTTCCTACGTCTGCTTTTTATCCTGGATATAGGCAGTTATCATACATTAATGTTTTTCAAATGGTAGGGACTCAACTCCCTATAAATGGATAAATCAATGTAACTAGTTGCAACAAGTTTTTTTTTAATAGATTAGAATAGAGCACAAGGATTACATATAATCTTGAAAGGTCAAGTTACATGTACACATTTATATAGTGGGTTATGATACAGAATGTATTTGTTACTATGAGTTGCAGTAAAACTTAACAAGAAAAGCTGTCATGAGCTAAGGTGGGAGCAACTAGCGCAGCATACAGGTCTAAGATGGGAGAGTGGGGTGGGAAGGGTCTTTTTAACTTTTTTTTTTGGGGGGGGGGTCTGGTCATGGGGCCTGAACTCTGGGCCTGGGCGCTGTCCCTCAGCTCTTCAGCTCAAGGCTAGCACTCTACCACTTGAGCCACAGCGCCACTTCCGGCTTTTTTTTTTTTTTTTTGCTTATGTGGTGCTGAGGAATTGAACGCAGGGCCTCTGGCATGCAAGGCGAGCGCTCTACCACTGAGCCACCTTCCCAGCCCCCATCCTTTTTTTTTTTAATAAAAAATAAAAGTTTCCCTGCCAATATTTTGTCTCTCAAAGCTTCCCAAGGACTGATTAGAGCAGCCCTCTCTGCTCCCAGCCCCACTGCTCCCCAATGGGCTGGCATCACACTAGCTTGCATTCTCTTCCACTCGACCAGAAAAAAAAAAAAAAAACATTCAAAAAGCACTTGAAAATGTCCCTAATCCATAGTTAAGTACTAGATGGTTGCTAGCTGATTTACAATCATTTATTCATCTTCTTTCCCCCTAAATAAAGCAAATTATCCAAGATTCTGTCTTGGGCACTTTTCTGCCTCTCCCACTTCCTCCCTTGGTCCTATCATCTACTAACAAGGTTTCTACTAGTCCACCTGTACAATGAATCTCACTAAACCTATATCACCTGAGCTCAGTCCACTCAACATGCCCAAGCTGTCTTTCCAATTCCTTCTATTTTATCAACAGGACTATTATTTGTGCCTACCATTTTTCACTTCTTACATGCAAGAAAATTTGGGCTTGTGTCAAAACTGTCTTCTTGATGTGTTTTCTTTCCATTTCCTACCTCAGACATTACTTACCACTCATCTCTGTAGCCCTCCAAACTGGTTTTATAGCCCTCCAAGAACCAACCACACATAAACATTATAAATCAGTGCTCCAACTGAGTTTCTTACTAGGTTAATACTACAATCTACCCTTATCTTCCTTAAAAGGCAACCTTTCCAGCTTGGTATTCAAGTCTCTATAAAACCAAACCCATCTCATGGTCTTTTCTGTATCACAGTACCCACATTCTGGCCAAGAAGAAAATTCTTTGGGTCTTTTCTCACTGTTGTCTCAATTCAAACATATTCCTAGTGAACATCCCTTCACATGTCTTCACATTTTCTGTCAGTATTTTGTCAACTTTAGATACCTATTTAGGTCTCCAACACCTGGTTCAATCCTCAGCATACATGCCTGCATAGGCAAGAAACCACACATACAAACACACACAGCCTCCAACTCCCCCACTCACCAGTTGGGGGGGGAGGGGGTTCCTGACTGCCTTGCCCGACCCCCCTCTTCTTCCTCTAAATACTGTCAGCACCTGGCAATGACTCTTAACAAGGCTACATTTTGCAATGTACTCAGGTTGCTTACATAATCACCTTACAAGAAGCTCTTTAAAGACAGCATTTCTTTTTTTCTCCTCCCTCCCCCTAGTCTCCCTACTGGGGTTTGAACTCAAGGCCTGGGCACTGTCATAGAACTTTTTTGTTCAAGGCTGGTTGCTCTACCACTTGAACCATAGCTCCACTTCTGGCTTTTTGCTGGGTAATTAGAGAGTCTGACTTTTCTGCCAGGTCTGGCTTTGAACCACAATCACCAGATCTCATCCTCCTAAGTAGCTAGGGTTCTAGGCATGAGCCGCTTTTGCCTGGGTAAGACTATTTCTTAAAAGTTCTTTGTAGCCTTTTGGATAGTCAGCACACCTTCTGCGAGTCTTTCTTTTTAAAAAAAGAAAGCTAATGACTAAAAACGGTAAGTCGGGCATGGAGTTCCCGAAAACCTCAGACATCCCTAAGCTATCATAGTAAGCATTAACTAATGAAAACTCAGAAGACAGGGTCAACTTGGATAAGGGGTAGGGGAGGAAATTACTTCACGAAAAGGTGACTAAAAGCACATGTCTCTGCAACTACACGTTGGTGCTTCACACGCATCCCTCCCTGGTGGTTACACTGCAAGAAGTGACAACTGCATTCAGTGTTAACTACTCCACTTTCTGGGCCTAGAGCCCGGTCCTGACCATCTGAAACTTTCTTTCCCCAAAATCTGTTCAATGGGGAAGGGGAGGGGAGGGTTTCTACCGGAAACTATCCTTAAACATCTCGTGTCCTCACAAAACCTGTCCAGGAACCCAGCCCCTTGTCACGGCTTCAGTTCAGGCCTCGGCGTCTCCAACATCTCCGGCCCACCCTGCTCCGAACTCCTTCGGTCCCTGCGACTCAGGCGGCCCCACACAAGTACCGTGTGTCTCGGTGCTACCCGACTTGGGCTCTGAGCGCGGCTCTGGGGAGGAGACGCGTTCTGCCCGCGCAGATGCTGGTTTTCCTCCGGCGGCTGCAACTCCACCCCCCGAACGCCCGTAGCAGCCTGAGCCGCACGCCGAGGTGGGGCGGCCGGGCCCCGCCGTCGGACCCCTTCCCGGCCCTACTCACCCAGCAATTCGAGGTTCATCCCTGCGGACTCGGGCCGCCCGGTCCCCGCTCCGGCAGAAACTCCTCCGCCTCCGCCCCCGCCCGCCCGCCCGCCTCGAAGCCCCGGGCCGAAGTGGGGGCTCCGCGAAAAGCCCGGCACCAGCTCCGGGGACTTCCGGATGTAGAAAGCCCCACCACTTCCGCTCCCCACCTCCCGGCCCGCCTTCCTCGGTCGTTTCAAGTGGCTGTTCGTATAAGTGCCTGACCAGAAAGAACAACTTTTCTTGGAATCGATTCGTTATTGCTTTTCAAGATACAAAACTTTATAAATATTCTAGATTTTGAAGACTGCCATGCTTGAGGGTGGATTTCCCCCCCGTCTCTGGTGACTTACAAGTTCGCCAAACTTTTCAGGCATAGAATTCACCAGCTAATCCGTGCTGTGTTGTGTGTTCAGCGGCGTTGTCCGGGTGGAGTGCCTAGGGCTCCGCAGGAAAGGTTCCGGAAGGGTCCTACTAACGTAGAGAAGTGGGAAAGGCCGTCCCCTAGCGTCGGAGCGCGGCAGTGTGTGCTCGCCTGCGCTGTGTGCAGACCGGGAGCCGGGCGGCCCACTCTGCTGCTTGGGAAATGATTGCACTTCAATAAAAATATGTCACTGCTTCCATCGAAAGGTGCGATAACGTTTCTTAGGACGCCGTGAAAAAGAACTGGGGTGCGAGGTGCTGTCATGACGTTCCCCCGAGCTCAACCCGGGAACGCTGGTGAGATCCACAGAACACTTAGAAGAAACAATCACTGGACATGCGGAAAGCGATAGGAACTGTTGGTTTTTAGGTTAAGAAAGGAAGAGGCTGGGCACCGGTGCTCATTCCTGCAATCTTAACTACGTAGGAGGCTGAGCTATGAGGATCGCGGTTCAAATCCAGCCTGGGCAGAAGTCTGTGAGACTCTTATCTTCAATAACTAACAAAATGTCGTAAGTAGAGCTGTGGCTCAAGTGATAGAACGCTAGTCTAGAGTGGAAAAAACTCAGGGACAGCGTCCAGGCCCTGAAGTAAAAGTGGGAGAGTATGGGGTAGGGTGGGTGAGTTTTATGTGAACAAATTTCGACTACAGATGTGGAAAAAATGCCCAGACTAGCACCTGGGTGGTAGTACCATCGACGGAAGTGGCTGAAATAGGGAGAGAAAGAACCCTTGATGTAACCAGTGAGGTTTCATGCTTTACAGTAGACTTAAAAAAGAAAACACAAGGGCTGGGAAGGTGGCTCAGTGGTAGAGCGCTTGCCTTGCATGCCTGAGGCCCTGGGTTCGATTCCTCAGCACCACATAAGCAAAAAAAAAAAAGAAGAAGAAAAAGAAAGCCGGAAGTGGTGCTGTGGCTCAAGTGGTAGAGCGCTAGCCTTGAGCTGAAGAGCTGAGGGA